AATTAGTTTAAATAGAAGCCATTTTACAGATAAATTTGTTTCCCAACTTTTTAAAAATGACAGATGTCCTTTGCTATTAATCTACTCATATGTGCTTTCTATTTTCTTCCTTTTTCATTTTGCCAGGCTAAGCCACAGCAGCGCGTCAAGCTAGTTAATAAATAAATATCGATGAAAATATCCCATCCCTACTGTAGTCCCAACCTTCGGTAGGTAGGAAGTATAATCCCCCCCCCTCCCTGCTGATTCCACTTCCCAAGTTTCCTTAATAGGAAAACTGGATGATTTAGAACTTGCGATAAACTTTCGCATACCTTGACACGTTCTTCCAGAGGAAACATCTCGAATGGCAAATACCTGGGAGTTGGGAAGTTGCTAAAACTTCTCTTGAGGTTAAGCCGGTAAATAGTTTAACGCAGTTATTTCAATTTGACTTTATATGTTTGATTAATCTCCTTAGGGCCTTGTTTTAACACAATAATATCCATTTTCTTTTTCACATCTCACTTTAACTGCATGTTTCAGTAACTGAACTGCTTGGAGAATTCTTGATAAAATATTGTTTTCAAAAATTCAGATGTATTTATTTCTAGCAATGGAGGACTTTAATAGACTTTTCAGCCTCTTACGAGTCATTTTAACCCTTACTTACCCCTATTTAAATTACGAAATAAACTTGAAAGTAGAAAATATTAAAACATTAAAATTCCAAAAAATATAAGTAAGAATTAAATTCTGTTATACAGGGTGTTTCAGTTCTTAATGACTAAACTCTAGGGAGTGATTTTCGACAAAATTTCTAACAAAAAAGTACATTTAATGCATTGGACGATTCCTCCTAACGGAAAAAACGGAATTTTTATTATTATTTTTTTTTAAAGTGGTCACCGTATGTTTACTTTACTATGCCAATCCCTTCCAAGACTGTCAGGGATATTGTCATAATAATTCTGCTTTAAGAGCTGGTGATAATTTATTGCTGTGGACTGTAAAATTAGAGAAGTTAATGGATTAAAGAAGTGAATATGTAAAATTTATTGCTTTATTTTATTACATGTAGTTTTATACGGAGGTTAAATATAGGTGGGTTGGGATACTTCCATTTTCTCTTTTCTTGTTGTGCCAGTCTTCTTGTTCATCTTCCCTCTCTTCCTTTCTTGGCCCCTTGCCGGCCGCTGTAGGTTTTTACTCCATTTTCCTCAAATCAGTGGAATAAAGAATTTTCTAACTGGGCCAGTCTTGTCCATCTCTCACGCTACGTGAGCGTCTATGCTTCAACAATGGCGGCGTCACAACAACAACTCAGGTATATATGCAGTATAACAGCTGTGTTGTGCTTACTTGATTTAATTCAAATATTAAGTTTGATGTGTTCCCTAAACCTTCTTTTTTTAATAAGAAGGAATAGCTGTTAAGATAATTAAATTCCTATGTATACCATCGTAAAGTAGATAAATTATTTTTGAGAACAGTGATTAAATTGAGTAAGGTCGATAAGGATAAAAGGGTCTTTCAAGAGGTCAAATACTGCCCCTATTAGTCCGTGGTACAGACCCTCTTTTTTTATCGAATTATTAACATCCACCTGAAACTTCGTAAATAGTTTCATCTCATCGTAACCTACAAATATTTTATTTTACGAAAACTTTTGGAATTGGGGCGTTTTCAATCTGGAGAGGGGCAAACTTTGTCTATTTAATTAAGAACTAAAAACTCGTACACACCCATTTGCTTTCTACTTGGATCGTAAGATAATTTGATCACAAAGTCGAGAAAAAAGATGGCCTTACAAAATATTGAGCCATTTGGCGTGACCTATACCCCAAAATTTTTAAAATAACGAGGTTATATAAGACAAACGGTCCAATATTTTTGTAGGCCATAATTGTTATCGATTTTGTGATTAAATTACCTTACGATCCGATTAGAAAGCAAATGGGTTTTAGGAGTTTTTAGTACCTAATTAAATATACAAAGTTTGCCACTCTCCAGATTGAAAATACTCCAATTCCAAGAGTTTTCGTAAATAAAATAGTTGTAGATTACGATGAGATGAAACTATTTACGAAGTTTCAGGCGGGTGTTAATAATTCGATAAAAAGGGGCCTGTACCACGGACTATATACTGCTGCTGTTGCTCATACTGGAGCAGCATATCTCTTTAAATCCCGATTGGTGAAAAAATTCGGCATAATGGCCTACTGCGTTTTTAGACATCACGAAAGCCCTTTTTATGACCGACCTTAATAAATTAAATCACTGTTTTCTTAAAGTAAATTTTACTTTGTTGGTGTACTTAGATTAAAACCAATTTCTGGTACCAATTTCTTTTCCGTTCGAAATCGGTCCAATGCAACGCATGAATTTTTTTGTTGGAAGTTTTGTTTAGAATCACCTCCTTCCCTTCCCCCAGAGTTTTGACATAAATAACTGAGAGTATAGTTTTTTTCCCCATTTTGTTGGTTTTTTTTTTTCCCAGTTTGTTGGTGTTTTTTTTCAAAATTTTACTAATATTATTCTCCAATTCCTTTGTAAGAGCATCCCCTACAGGAATTCCTTTCTTGATTGCTTTTTTTGCTATAATATTGAAATATATATATATATATATATATTTTTTTTTTCTTGTGTTGAACAATGAAACAGAAGTAGAGGTATTAAAAAAAAATAATAACCTGCTCAATCAAGAAAGCAGTGACTGCTAGCAGTGACAAGTGGAAGCAGTGACAGAACTGGGTTAGCAGTTACAGTGACAGTATATATTTAATACATTTATTGAAATATTAAATCAGCTACATTTCAATTTAATCAAAATGATAGCTTACGATGAAAATATTTTTCTTTTTTTAATTCACAACTTATTAATAAACTACTTAAAATTGAAATAATGTTACTCACAAGTTTCAATAGTTTTTTTTTCTAAAATAATCTTACTTCTTTATACATACTGGTTTCTGGCATAGTTGCCAGATTGTTTTTTTTTTTCTTTTTTCTCCAATAAATTTATGGTTTTTTTACCCTTTGAATTTATTTTAGGATACTTAAGACTATGTAGTTTTTTTTCATTTTATTTATTTATTTTTCCGTAGACTTGATATTGTGATAAATCGATAGTGCTGGAGCTAGCTGTTTTGTGTCCGCCCATTTTGTCGGATGTCCTCAGTCTAAGGTTTTCGCACTTATAAGTCGCCTCTTAGGAGAGTATTAAAAAGGAGATTAGTTTTGTATTTTATGCATTCAGGTATTTTTACATTTAGAGTTAGAGATATCGGGGAATACCAAATCCATGATTTAATTTTGGAAGGACATCATCTGTAGGTAAGTGTAACGATAATTACTTCAGAAGAAAAAAAAGGAACTAACTACCTGCACGAAATGATGTTTAACTGATCCTTGAAGCCAAAATAAAAAAAAAATATATAAAATTACCTGAACAATAATACTTTTAGAGATAATGTTTTATTTTTTTTTTTTTCGTTAGACATAGCTATTTATATATAAATACATATATTACAATTTTAAAAAGAGAACAATTTTTTATTGTTTAAGTATTTACCTTAGACCATTCACAATATAAATGTTTTCTTATTTTTCTTTTTCTAGGAAGCTTCAGTTTAATATATTTTTCTAAGGTTAAGGCAAATAAACTTCTTTCTGACGTTTCGAGGACAATTTTCCCATCCTCAGAGAATCCTTTATGTTCACTGAAAATGTACATATTTTAAGTGAACTATTATTACATTGTTAATTTACTCTATTCATTGTATAATTATTTACCTTGACTATGTAATGTGGCACCAATTGTCAAAAATTACAATAATTGTCATATCTATTTAAATATAATACTTTTTATTTTCGTACTTCCTTCCATTCCTTTTCACATTTTGATAGACTTTACAATATCTCAATTTTCTATCTAACTATTCTATTTACAATATCTTAATTGTACTATTTATTTTCATTTCTTATATAACTTCATATTCATTTTTTCTGTTCTGCATTTTATTCTAAGATTCCCATTTTAATACTATGTCACCTTTTTTGATTATGTTTACTTCATCATTCCACACGTTGTAACGGTAATTATTATTTATCTCTTAGTTCTTACTACTGTCATTATTCTAACAACTTCATTTTACTTTAATTTTTTTTACCTACACTCCTGAATGATAATATTTATTTTGACATTTGCCGATGTTTCGACCTGAAGTTCAGAGAAATTTATTTTGAATTTATGAGAAACATAAGTAGTGTAGGTAAAAAAAAAAAAAAAAAATTAAAGTATAATGCATATTTTATTTTTTTTTTTTTACACTACTTATGTTTCTCATACCTTGTTATCTGGTTCTTTTCTTAACCCCTAAGAAAGGCCTGAACTTCAGGCCGAAACGTCGGCAAATGTCAAAATAAATATTATCATTTATTTTTTACTTCTTATTTGACTGATAATCCCAACTATTCTTCTCTTCATTATTCACGATAGTCGACCATTTACCCATAATTATAATACTTTTTAGTGTTACACATTCATTTTCTGTCCATCATCCTATATTTGACAAGGTAAATAATTAAACAATAAATAGAGTAAATTAACAATGTAATAATAGTTCACTTTAAATATGTACATTTTCAGTAAACATAAAGGATTCTCTGAGGATGGGAAAATTATCCCAAAATAGATGTGATTAAAAAAGACTAAAGAGAAATGGAAGTTTATTTGCCTTATCCTTAAAAAAAAAAATGTATAAATCTTGAACAATGAAAAAAAAACAACATTACATTTTTTTTTTTGTTTTTACAGATTACAGGATACAGACTACAGAAAGACCTCCATACATTCGCCTGTTGTTGATAGATAAATGAGTGGCCTGACAAACCTGGATTTTTGGCTAAAAGATCCTAACTGACCTCAAAAAATTCTAGATTCATTTGATAAGAGGAGTTAGTATATTTTTTAATACATATATTTATTATTTAGGATATATTATATAAGTATCTTGACCTTATTGTACCGAGAGCTGGGACGGCAGTAAACAAACTGAGCCGAGAGACTCGCCTACTTCCCCGACTGGAGGAGGTCGATACCAACAGCTGGCAATTCCCCTCCTCGCCGTAGTTCGTCCAAGGTCGGTTTCTCGTCGTGAGGCTCCGACCAAAATATCCGCGGATCCATAAACCTGCCCTAGGAAGTATAGGGTATGGGGTATACCGTATAGTATAGAAAAGGTGTATGTAGGGGATAGGATAGAGGTATAAATATTAAAAAACGCTGCAAGTTATTTCATAATGGTTTATTATTTCCAAACAATTATACATCTAAAGTAACATTACCTTCCAATTTAGAAATAAATAAAAGGTGATTCCAATTATTGGACTAAACTGTTTTTCTTTAATCATTAGTAATATGCTAAAAAAATAGCATTAGTTCAGTAACATATTCAAAATTTAAAAACCAAACCAAGGATATAACATTTGGAATAGAATATATTTAAAAAACCGAAGACCATATCTTTGCTCCTAATTGTCCGATTTTAACGATTTTTTTTTTTATAGGAAATTTCGTAAACTTTTAAAAAACTATACAATATCAACAAAAAAGTAAAAACTTTTCGACTTATTCGGAATTTAATTTTACCATCCCTCGTAACTTTTTTTCCAGCTTCTTTTCGTTGAAGTATGTTATATAGATAAATTTAAAGGGCGTCGAGAAAATGACTTTAGCGAAGTTTCATTGAAATCTGTACATTCGTTTAGGAGCTACAGTCTATAGCAACGCAGGTTTTTCGGCCGCCATTTTTAAAAAGTTAAAGGCGGAGAGTAATGTCGATAAAGGAGGATCATCCTCGGGTGACCTCTGATTTTATATCAAAATTTGAAAAAAATCGGTCCAGTAGTTTCGGAGAAAATGCGCGGACGGCGGACGGACAAAAAAAATGTTATTCGTTTTTCGAATTCTACGCATCTTTAAACGTGAAACCTCAAATTTTGAGAGGGGTTATGTTTTTGAATTTTTTGGTCGATCACAATGTTTCACTATTGAAAATAATAAACCAAAACATCATTGCTCCTAAATGTCCGATTTTATTTTGTGTTTCTTAAAAAAATTTAAATAAACCAAAAATATATAAAAATCGCGATATCGTTACTAATAGTGCTCGGATTTCGACGAAAGTATATTAGTATTTTAGGAAATTTAAATACTTTTGAAACAAGTAATCACAATATCCGCAAAAAAGGCTATACTTTTTGAGTTATTCGGAATCTAATTTTACCATTCCTCGTAACTTTTTTTCAAGCTTCTTTTCGTTGAAGTATGTTATATAGACAAATTTAAAGTGCATCGAGAAGAAGACTTTAGCGAAGTTTCATTGAAATCGGTACATTCGTTTAGGCGTTATATTTGTGATATTTCTTTTTGTAACTGAGGTAGGTTTATTTTAATGTCTCCATTTCATTCTTTAGAAACAATACAAAAAATTAATACCTAATTTTTTTTTTTTTAATCCTGAAAAGACATGTGAAAAACTAAAGTAAAGCCCGGGAACATCAAATGGTCAAATAATATTAGAAATGGCCTCGAAGCAGATGAAGAATTAAAGAGAAATAAAAATAATTTGATTAAATTTACAAATGATAGCCTAAACGTTCACATCACCCTGTTGTACGACACTCTGGTTGTCAAAATAAGTTGGTAGTATTTTCCAGATTTTTTTCCCCCGCGCAATATGTCACATTTCTAAACGATTTCTAAGTGGCCACGCTGCTATTTTTTCTTTCTTTTTTTTTTATCCGGTTCTGTACGAGACTTTGATTAATGTTTCTTTTTACGTAATCCGTTCTCCCTTGTTCATGTTCACGTTAGAAAGAAATAAAGACAGAAATAACGAAGTGATTCGTGATTCCGTGATCTGGTTTTAATTCTCATATAATTGAATTTTCAATAATAAAAAACAAAAGAAAAATGTAAGAGTACAAACAAGTATTTTTTTCGATTCTATGGTGCAGTCTTAAATACTTTTTCAGGGCCATTTCTTTATAAACATACATACAAGGATTTGCGTATTAAAGTAAATGAAATCAAAGTGTAAGCATATTACTTTCACACTCCTTATTTTATTCTATCAATCCATTTCTTTATTTATTTATTTTTATTATTATTATTATTTTTTTTTTTTTGTACCAACCATCCAAATAGTATTAAATGATGTTATCTAGTTGATCGGGCGCTTATGAACTGGATGTTTTGCGGCTAGACACCGAAACAAACAAACAAACTTTCACACTCCGACGTAAATCCCGTCCGCCAATATTTATTAACTCTATACCTCTTCTCTTCTCAGAAACAGTCCTTGGGCTTCCTTCTAGACAAGTGACTGACATGGAACACTCATACCGGACTCAAAAGACAAGAGGTAAACCAACGATATGGACAATTACATAGACTACTGAACAGAAACTCATATTTCTCAATTGAAAACAAACTACTAGTCTACAAGACCATACTAAAATCCATCTGGATGTATGGAGTTGAACTGTGGGGTTCTAATAAATCTTCGAACATCAAACGTATTCGAAATCCTTTCAATCTAAAGTCCTTCGAACAATAGTTAATGAAATGAAATGAAAATATTTTTTTATTATCCTGGGACTGTTGTCCCTTTAGGACAAATTACAGATACAGAATAAATGCCTGTGTGGCCATACATAAAATTAATTATTTACATTTATTATTAAGATTAAGATTTTGAAAAAATAATAAAACAAAAAATATAACTATTACACTAAAAACATTCTGATATGTATAATACAAACTATATAATAAAATAAAATAGCATAAGTAAAGAAAATAATTTCTGGGGAACTTTAAAAGTTCTCTTATCTACATTTCATGATCAATCGGGTTGGGAAAGGAGTAGGTGGTTAAAAAGGAGAGATTTAAATGAGGAAACTGAATTGTACATGTCGGATATCGGGAGGGATGGTATTCCAGAAGGAGACGGCTTGAATTATAAAGGATTTGTCAAACGCTGCAGTTCGGTGGGGAGGTGGATAGAGGTCGGAGGAACGAGATCTAGTGAGACGGGATTGAATGGAATATTTGCATTGTAGGCTGTGAAAAATATAGGAAGGCCGCTGAGTTCTGATGACTTAGCAAGGAAGTACAGACGGCGGTTGGATGGATAGAGCCACTTCAACTTGGTGTAATACTGGGTTATATGCGTATCTCTTGAGATTCCGAAAACAAAACGTATTGCGCAGTTCATTAGGCTAATGTTAATGTTCCGTACTACGTCACAAACAAAACCTTACATCATGATCTCAACATCTCCTTTATCTTCGAATTAACTCCATCCAAATTCTCAAACTTTCATCAGAAACCCATATCCATGATCCTAATTCCTTAGCACAATACCTTTCGAGCTCCAACCATCCATATAATCACCACCGAAGGTTGAAACGGCAATGGGCCCGAGATCTTTTATAAATATTTTATTTATTATATGATTATTTATATTTTACATATAGTTTTCTATGACGGAAAAGAATAATTAATATCAGCTATAAATTTATTTAGACACAGATAGGATTTTATTATTTTTTTTTTTTACCGTTTTAGCTTTATTAACTGAATTTGACAGTTGATTGAAAAAACATAAATAACATATTTAAAAACTTATTCGACTCATTTCAACAAGTTAAACAACAGAAAATATTTTGAGAATTCAGCAAAAATGCCTAAAATATATTTAATGATTTATAAAAAGTACTTTTTATTTATATTTTATTTAATATCTTGGAAACTGGTGTTTTTTATTCGTGCCTAAACTGTAGGAATATTTGAGTTAACTATGCCAGACATTCAAAACATAGAAATTTGAATTATCATAAACACATTAAAAATAGGAATTTTAAGGTTATCAAACCACTGTGTTACGTCCCCACCTCTTTTCTTTGACGCTAACTATAATTATTTATATTGTTATAACCTGATCTTCACAGCCGTCTAATATTAAAAAATCAGTAGGCCATTCTTGGAATAGTACATTATCATATATGTATACATATATACACCCATAAGATATACAAAGATAGGTATATAGAACCGTCCGTTATAGCGGACTATACACCGTGCTGTCCCCCCGTAGCATACAGGGTGACCCGTCCATTATTATATACCAGACCTAGTCCCACACCGTTGGGAATATATTATATATATATTGTTAGTAATATTCACCATTATCATAACAAAAGCTATTAAAATGTGCTATCCTGCCTACAGTATTATCAGTCATTCAGGTCCCAGAGCGTTCCTTTCATAAACTGACACCTTTTTTTTCACAAGACCTTCTTTTCATAAAATGAAGAGGAGTATAAGCGATTTTAGTATTTTTATGATATATATATATATATAGTAACCAAGATTAAGGAAGCAGTGAAAAAAAAAACTCTACTCTCTTTTGTTTCCTATGCCTGATTACTAATTGATATTTTAGCATGTGCATGTGCTCTTACATCTTATTGTGTCTTTTCTAGATGTTTAGGATGTGGCATGCCATTATATTGTATATAGAGTAAGTTTTTTTTTTGTTATTTTTAATATCTTTATTATCTCAAATATCTTCCTATTTATCTTTAATTGTATATAGTAATTATGTTTAAATTCTCTCTTTTTCCTTGTATTTTATTTCTTTTTATTGTACATAGTATTAATTCTGTAAATATTTCTTTCTGTAAATAGATCTGTTAACCTTTTTTTGCTGCTTTATAAAAATATCCAACCTAACCCCTTCTCACCTGAGCTAGCATGGTAGAGTAAATATTTAATGATAGCCAAATAATGAGTAAGTACCTTATACTTTTCTAGATTTATCTCTTTAGAGATGAAAGGCTGGTAAGCCAAGAGCCCAACAAATAAAAATTCCAATGAAAAATTATATTTAAGAAAATTATTTTTTTATCTTTTTATTTATCCTTTTTTTGGTCATAATATATATATATATATATACGGGGTGTCCCGTAAGTAGAGGTAAATATTTAAAAAGGTAATAGTAGACATCAACATCTACAAAAGCGTTCATATAAAATATTGCGCAATTTCTAGCAGAAAAGTAAGAAATTAAGAATTGTGTATTTTTTTAAGCGAGTCACGTTTTTTGATGAGTAGGAAGCAATAACATGAAAAATATTTTATTTAAGAGACAAAACATAGCTCCATAGTAAACTAGACAAAATTTACTTTAAACGAAAGTAGAATTTGTCATTGTTAAAACTACTTAAAGACGACTATTGGCCGGCGACTTTGGTTTATTAATTCCAATAATGAAACCATTGCAATGAACAAAAATCCAAAAACTTAGCCCCCTCTCAAAATTTGAGGTCTTACGTTTCAGGTTGTGAAAACCTGAACGAAGAATTAGAAAAAATAATACAAATATTTTCTCCGAAACTACAGGACTGATTTTTTTTATAATTTGGATTTGAAATCAGAGGTCGCCCGAGGATGATCCTCCTTAATCGACATTAATATCTGCCTTTTAATTTCAAGATGGCGACCGAAAAACCTGTGTTGCTATAGACTGTAGCGCCTAAACGGAATGCATCGATTTCAATGAAACTTGGCTAAAGTCTTCTTCTTGATGCCATTTAAATTTATCGATTTAACATACTTCAATGAAAAGAAGCTGGAAAAAAAAATGTTAAAATTGGACAATTATGAGCAAAGATATGGTCTCTAGATGTTTTTTTATATGTTATACTGCAAAGGTTATGTCCTATGTTTTGGTTTTTGATTTTTTAATGTGTTACTGAAGTAATGCTATTCTTTTTTAGCAAATTACTAATGATAAACAAAAAATGTTAAGGGCAATAAGTGGAATCAGCTTTTATTTCTTTTTCTTTGTAACTAGGAAGATAATGTTACTTTAAATGAATAATTTTTTGGAAATGATAAACCATGGTGAAATAATTTGACAGCGTTTTTTTTTTTTTTTTTTTAAACCTTTAACTGTACTACATTTACTCCACTTTTACAAAATATTCCTCGTTTAATAAGCATCATATTAATTTAGTTTAGGTTAATTATGAAACATTTTGAGATACACCTCAAGTTGAGAAAAGAACTTATGTGATATGTTATCGAGTAACTTCAAAGTACCGCGGTTGACTACAAAGCTTTTATTTGTTGTTTTTACGTGGTATGGGATATGTTGTCATAAACATAATTGCCTAAAAACACATTTTATTTATAAAAATAAAAAATTTAAAATTGATGATTTTTCCAAATATTTTTCACTTAAAAGTGGTTATGAAATTCTTTTTCTTCCAGATCCCAGTCATAGAACTTTCTATGTATTTTTCAGTGACAAATTTAATGTTTCTTACTAAAATAAAAAAAAAAAACCTCATGATTGCTTCAATTATGTTCATGAAAATGTAAATATTAGGAAGAACTTTTAACAGCTAGAGCAATTTTAACGAAGCCTAACTTTAAACCTAATTTATTATATAGCTGGTAGCCAATAAAAACGTCGTATTTAATAAGCCAACATTATTAAATAATTATTTTACTTTTAGTTATTTAACTCTGTATAATTTCAATCCCTGAAGATTGAACCAACAGGCGTAGATGGCACTCAACTAGCCGATAGAACCCAGGCGGGACTGCGAGGCACCGTTAGGTCGAATTATGACTGGCGGATGGTAATTCCTCACGGAGCCAAGGGGTACCGCCGTGGAACCTGTTCCAGGAACCGGAACAGTAACCGGTGACTAATGGACCGGTGGATCATAATAGCGGTAGGGTACGGCGAACAGTGTGGGGTCAGGCGGCGGCTGCGGGAGCAAAACAAACTCAGCCTCTAGTGGTTCCATAGGAGCGGGCTTCGGGGGCCCCCCAACACAAATAGAGATATAAATATTTAAAAAAAAAAAACGAAATTTTGTGATGTTTTTAATGAAATCAAAAGATACAACTTTTGAGATCTATTAGAAAATTGTCCGACGAAAGAACTATTTTTTTTATTTAGTTTTTCGTTCCATCCTATTGCCCGTCTACCTCAAGGTCAATGTTGCCTTATCCCAAAATATTTTATTGCTCTCCTCTTCTTAAAAACAGAGCAAGAGAAAGTAGATTTTTTGAAAAATCATGGGTCATATCCAATTACACTTTTAGTGGCATGTTCAATTCTTTCATTATATCTCGTCGTGTGAAACTTTTCATTAGAAAATTAATAACACCGTCAAAATATTCCCTGCACAAAAACTGTGATGGCGTAATAGGCGCCATGAAACCCCTGAACCGAAGCGAAGGTGGGAGGATTTCATTAAGGCTGATCTTGCGAGGCTGGTTTGGCACGGCGGTAGTTGAATGAAAGTATGGTAGTATCGGCATTTGATATTTGGGTTCACTATGCTTCTATTATTATTCAAAACTTCAAATACAAATGCTGGATTGCAAGAAAATAAACTGATACTATTGGCATTAACATTGTACTTGTCCCCATACTTTCCCATTCATAGGCTTACAACGATAAGAAAAATATGAAGAAATAAAAATATTTGAGATATGGATAAGTACGAGTATATCGGAAGTAGGAAGGAGTCGCTGAACGGAAGTGTCGTGTGAGGCGGTACTTGGGGCTTCTGGGGCACCCAGCCATCGAGATAGGACCGGAAAAGCATGAGCACGACTTCCGCCATGTTGCTTTCATCAAGTTGTCAATTTAAGTAGACATAAAACATCATATTTTATGTATTTGCTCCGATCTGGCAGCTGAAAATCAACTGACAGCGATGGAGACCGGTTCGACTTGCTATTTATCTATTTACATAAATGTTCAGGTTATATATATATATATATATATATATATATATATATATATATATATATATATATATATATATATATATATAAAGTAAATGTACCAGTGATAGAGAGTTTTTAACTAATTAACAGATAATAAAAACTTCACACTAAAAAAAAAAAATGAGTGGCAATATGAGTAGATTTGCAGTTAAAACACAGAGGGTGGATGATGCCTGAACCTCAAGTGAAATGATAACACAATAGCCGATTAGCAGTTGATTATTTAATAAAATAAGGCTGAAATTTGTTCCAAGAAGGGGCGGGGTGGCCGAGCAGGCCTAACGTGTGTGCACATCACCGCGCGTTGCCCGGCAACCTGGCAACCGAAGTTGTACAGAATAAAATAAGTACGAGTTCGCGTCCGGTTTTTTTTTTTAAACTTTGGCGTTAAATCCTCGCAAAATCTCACTCCTGGCCCAGGAAAACCCCGTATAGCCGAAAAATCAAGAAAGGAGAGAATGAAAAAAAAAAAGTTTCAAGAAGGTTTCCTTACTACTTTTCTTTAAGGGATAATTTTGAAATTTTTGTTTATTCATCCGTGGTTTGTTATTTATTAGTTCAAAACTGTGGAGAATTCATATTGAGTTTATTAATTATATAAAAAAAAACTATTTACCCCCAAAATGTGGTGTGTCTATTACTGGAGCAAAATAAACTGTGAGAATTCCTTAATTTTTCATGAATAATTAACTAATTGAATTTACATTAAAAAAATTAATGAAAGACTAAATTTCCTTTCAATTAAACCCATTTGCAAAGATCCACCTTCAGAACTTAAGTTGTCATTCACATTTTTTTTTTTTTTTTTTTTTTTTTTTTTGAGTATTATAACAATCTGTCTGTTGGACATTGGTTATAGTGAGGTAGGATGACATTCACACCATATGTACAAAAAAATAAAATAAATAGAACAAAATAATAATCAAAAGTATATACAATAGACAATAAAATAAAATAACCTAAAAAAATAAGAAAATTAAAACTAAGGAAAAAAAAAAAAAAAAAAAACACATGCATACCTATATACAATCAGGCGAGGGAACTCCAGGAGAACCCTGCGCTACTCTCCCAACCGCGTCACTGGTACTAAAGCCAGCGGAGATTGGTCGAGAGCACTTTAGCCACATACACACATGTCTTGAGTGAAGAATCTGGCCATTGCCAGAACTCCAATTTATATAATCTACAAAAGGTCGCGAGGCCACTGCCGTTTCAACCTTCTTGGAGGATTATAGGGATGGGAGATGCTTGATAGGGATTGTGCAAGAGGATTTGGGTGGTAAGTAAGGTTCTGGTGAAATTTGGAGAATTTTTCTGGGATAAGGTCTAGGACAAATGGGATGTTAAGGTCATGATGTAGGGTTTTGTTGGATACATAGAAAGGAGCATCGACTATTGTTCGAAGGACTTTAGACTGGAAGGATTGGATGCGCTTGATGTTAGAAAATTTTGCTGATCCCCACAGTTCTAGTCCGTAAGTCCAAATAGGTTTCAGTATTGTCTTGTAGATCAGTAGCTTGTTTTCAATGGAAAGTTTAGATTTTCTGCTTAGTAGTCGGTATAGTTGGCCGTATCGTCGGTTGAGTTCTTGTCTTTTGAGTCTAGTATGCGGGTTCCAAGTTAGTCTTCGGTCTAAATGAAAGCCAAGATACCGGACTGTGTCTGAATAAGGAAGCTGGATGGAATTAAAGAGTACTGGTGGACAGGAATTGCGTCGGAGTGTAAAGGTAATATGTTGGCATTTAGATTCATTAACTTTAATGCGCCAGTTATTACACCAGTGCTCAATCAAGGTGAGGTGACTTTGGAGATTTAAGGATGCTATTTCGGGATCAGAGTTGGATGATAAGATTGCGGTGTCGTCAGCGAATGTTGCAAGAAAAGTATCGGGATGAACAGGGATGTCAGCAGTAAAGAGGATGTAAAGCACGGGACCCAAGACGCTGCCTTGGGGAACACCGGCTTTAACGGAGTAGATATTGGAAAATTCTGTTCCACAGCGAACTCGAAAGGAGCGGTCAGAGAGGTAGGATCGGAGGACTAGGTACAAGGACTGAGGTAAATGGATTTTAAGCTTGGAGAGCAGTCCGGAGTGCCATACCCGGTCAAATGCCTGTGCAATGTCCAGAAAGGCACCCGAACAGTATTCCTTGTTTTCTAGGGCTGAGGAAATATGATCAACAACTCGGAGTCCTTGTTGAACAGTAGAATGTTGAGAGCGAAAACCAAACTGATGGGAAGGGATATTTTGGGATTCTATAATGGGTAGGATTCGTTTCAAAAGGATCTTTTCAAAAATTTTTGAAAGGATTGGGAGTAGGCTGATTGGTCTATAGGATGTTGAGCTATTGAGAGGTTTTCCTGGTTTTGGGAAAAGGATAATAGTGGAGTGTTTCCATAACAGAGGGAAGTGGGTGGTGCGTAGGATACAATTGTAGATATATGTAAGGAATATGACTGCTTTGGATGGAAGTTGTCGAAGGATTTGAGGTGTAAGGAGATCATGTCCAGGAGCTTTACGGGGGATTAGTTTTTTTAATTGAAATTTTACTTCGGAAGGATGAATAGCTTTTGGGGGCAAGGAAAGTGGGATTGGTGATGTAAGGAGTTCTTCTACTGTTACGGTGTGGGCAGGATGGGATTCCGGATGTGAAATAAATGTATTGGATAGGTGAATGGCGAACTCCTCAGCTTTATCTTCGTCAGATGCTGCCCAGGAGCCATCACCTCGTCGGAGAGGATGGGAAATGCGGTGAGGATTTAGGATTTTTGTTGTGGTTTTCCAAAGGGAATTGTCGCGAGAAGAGAGGGAGGATAGGTAGGAGTTGAAGGATTGTGATCTGAAGGTGGCTAATTCCAGTTTTAATTGTTTGCAGTAGTAATTATAGGAGCAGCGGTCGGTAGGATGTCGGGTACGTTGCCATAATAATCTGGCACGGCGTTTGGTGCGGATTAGGTTAAGGAGGTGTTGGGGTAGAATGGTCTTTATAGGAATTCTGGAGGAGTCTTTTGGGAAGGAGGCAGTCCAGGCGGCTTGTTGGATTGTGGTAGTAAAGGAATTTACGGCACTATCAAGGTCATCGGGAGTTTTGAGGGATATGTTGAGATCAATATTATCGGAGATTATTTGGCGGAAAAGGTCCCAGTTTACTGGGCCCCTAATGAATGACGGTGGAGAAGGTTTGGGAACAGGTTCAAGTGAAACATTAAGGATTAGAGGACTATGGTCAGAGGAAAGTTCATTTAGACGTGTAATGGAACAATTGAGGGGACTTAAGCCGCTGTGGATAAAGAAATCAAGAAGATCAGGATTACGGTTGGGATCTGTGGGCCAGTAGGTAGGAGAGTTGGGGGAAAGGAGGTGAAAACGTTGGGAATTGAGTGCAGACAGCAGGGTTCGGCCACGAGAATTCGTGGTTCTGGAACCCCATTGTTGGTGCTTGGCATTTAGGTCTGCACCCAAGATGAAGTGATGTCCTAAGGAGTCGAGGAGAGAACTGAATTGGGCATTGGATATGGATCGGTTAGGAGGGCAATACGCTGATGCAAGAGTGACCGGAAAGGAGAAGGTTTTTATCACGATAGCGGTGGACTGTAGGAAATCATGTATTGGTAATGGGAGTACGTGATGGGAGAGGGATTGGTGTACAATTACAGCAGTACCGGCATGTGCTTTTCCGTCAGGGTGGTCAGTACGATATGTCAGGTATTGTGGTATATTGAAGTGCTGTTTAGTGGTTAGTCGAGTTTCAGTAATTAGTGCCACATCAATGTTCTTGTCAAGTAGTAAAGTAGATAGTTCGTCTGTATGATTTCTAACACCATTCGCATTCCAAAGGAGAATGGATACGGGTTTAGGGATGTGAGTCATTTAAGGATTTTTCAAAGGAGGGATGAGGTGAGATACGAGATTCGTGAGGAGTGATATGAGTGGAGTAACAAGGGATTTGAAATCGGTGAGGAAAGATGCTAACAAACTTGTGAGATCTGTTGCATTTGAAGGAGGAGGAATATGAGGAATTTGTTGTTGGTGGTTAGGTATATTAGGATGAAGAGGATTTTGAGGTTGGGTTTGAGGTTGTTGTTGTGGCAGGGCTTGACATTTATCGGTTAAAGTCTTACCTCTAAGTAGTTGGGAGAATGATACATCATTGTTTACAATTCTGGAAGGCTCTCTCTCTCTTCTTGTTCTTAGTGCTTCATCTTGAATCCGGTTTTTCTGGTGTCTGGTTTTGAGATTCTTGTAAATTTGGCAGCCTTTGTAGTTGGCCGGGTGTCCCTCCAAGCATAGGGCACATACTGCTGGATCTTGTATAGGTTTGGTGCACTCTACAGATTTGTGCTGTTCACCGCACTTCACGCAACGCGGCAGATGGTGGCAATATGTCTTCGTGTGGCCATAGGTCTGACAATTATGGCACTGCACGATGTCTCTCTTGGGATATGGCTTCTCAACTTTCACCATTGTGTAGTATATTCTTGTGATATCATATATTTTTTCGATACCTGGTGATGGCTCCAAGTCCACGAAAAACAATGGTAGTGGGATCCTATTTCGTAATCCTGGCTGCTCCCTGTCCTCCTTCAAAACGTTTGTTACCTGGCGTACATTGAAACCAAGCGTCGTTAGTTCTTCTTTAATAACTTCAGTGGGGGTTGAGGAATGTAAATTTCTTATCACTACTCGTAAAGCTCTTTCCTGCCTCAGCTGGTAAGTGTGAAAATTCGCATTTGTTTCTGATAAGTACTTCACTATTTTTCGGTAGGCTTCTGCAGAAGCAGGTGTTATTTTGGTGTCATTGGTCCTGTTAAGGCATGAATAACTGCCAGAGCAGATTTTATTTA